TCAGTATTAATCATTATTAATCATTATTAATCATTTATATATTTGTATTTTAATCATTATAACTTTTAATCGTTTACATATTTGTATTTAATTATTAATTTTTAATTATTTATTTAATTATCTTTTAATAGCTTTTGCAAAAAATAAAGAACTATTATAGTTCAGTATTACAAAACATTTGTTCTGCTATTTGGAAAGTATTTGGCTATGAAAAGCTACCACTACTTAAGAGTAATACAGTTCCTGGTGATATAGTTATATAGAAGAATAGCCTACAAGTTCAAGCCTGTTACCACGCTTTTTTTGAGCAAAACGATAAAGATCTCCTTTGGATCAGCATAATTGCAAGAACAGCTTTTAGCATAATCACCGTTTTGGCTTTGACCAACTATCATTATGCGTTCATACTAGCAGTATACGATATTCTTCTAAACCTATGATCAAAAATGTTTTATATAAAGAAGAATGGATTTTGCATTATATTAACAAATATTTGATAAGCATTAGTAATCAACTGTTTTATTACAAAAGCAGCATTAATATTAATTATTGTCAGGGATGATGCTAAAATCAGATGATGCTAAAATTTGGAGTCTTAATTTGAAAATATAAACCTTACTAAAATCTACCTATACTTTTTTATTATAAACACTAACCCTAAATTCTAATCAAACTATAAAACAAAAGCTGAACAAAACACCCAAAAAATTTTTAAATTTTCACAATAACTAAGTCAAAATTTGATTTCAGCATCATCCCTGACAATTATTTATTCTATTCAAATAGAATGATTTTGATCAAAGTGGTTCTAGTTATAATTCTGCAGAATTAATCATGGATGATAAACTTGTAGCACGTTCTTCTAATAGTGAACAATCAAAACAAGTCACACCCAATCATGAGTCTTTTTCTCAAATTTCTTTGGGGTTGCTTTCGCAAGAAGAACAGGATATATTATTTGGGGCTGATTAATAGCGTGATCATGCAAATAGTTTTCTGTTTTTTTTTTATATTAATTGAAAATAGATGATATTTTAATGTATAATTCTATTTGTATTACATTGTATTGCAAATATAATAAATATTATTTACATATCTATTTTTTTTATTCAAAAAACTCTTTTTGCTGATCATCAAAATACAAATTTTTTGGAAAAACAAAAAGGACCCTAAGCAATTTATGTAGAGGTAAGAGTTTTAAAAAATTACCAAAGATAAAGGATCTGTATAAAAATAGTTAAAAATAAGCATATGTTTTACTTAAAATAGAAAAGATCTGCAAAAAA